CGGAAACAGAGGGCGTCCTTCCCGCGTGCCTGTGTGTGTGTGTGTGTGTGTGTGTGTGTGTGTGTGTGTGTGTGTGTGTGTGTGTGTGTGTGGATGTAAGTAAGTGGAAGTGAAAAATAAGGTGAAGTACTAAATTATTAAAATTGTAGTAAAATTAAACAAAAGCCACACAGTAATATAAAATATATAAAAAAGCAAAACCACTGAAAGACATATTATGTGTTAGTTGTATTCATTTTGATGACAAATTACGGTTTGGTCAATTAGAAAAGATGACTTACAATTATTAGTTATTCTTGGATTAAAAAGCATTTAAAAAAAATTGTTTTTAAGTTCTGCATGGTGGTTATCAAACACAAAAAGAATTAGTATTGGTAACAAGACACTAAAACTGTTAAAGATTTTTTTTTGTTAACTGAAATAAAGCTGAAATAAAATAAAAGTATTAAATGAAAAATGTAAACTTTAACAAAAAAATAAAAAAAAAATTCTTGGCAACAACCTAAAATAAAGTACTTTTAATTGATGTACAAAATTACTAAAACTTTAATAAAAATAAAAAGGCAGAAATAAAATGTTCTGTATAGTGGTTATCAAACACTTATAAACAACTGGTATCGGTTATTATCATTAACTAAGCCTAAAACAAACTATTAAAGATTGTTTTCATTAACTGAAATAAAGCTGAAACATAATAATATAAGTATTAGATGAAAAATTAAAACTTAAATGAAAATTTGGAACCTTTCAACCACCTAAAATACCAGAAGTTTAAACCAGAAGTACTAAATTACTAAAACTTACCACATATAAAAATAAACAAAAGCTACATAGAAACTCAAAAAAAGCAAAACCCCCGAAAGACACATGATGTGTTAGTTGACTAATTGTCTTTTGGTCTATTAGAAAAGCCGATTTTACCGTAAATTATGTTGTGGTTCATTTCCGCTCTGCGCAGAGACTCATCCAGAACTTCATACATCAGCTCACTGGTGCTGAAACATGAACAGACACATTTACATTACAATTTTCAGTGCATAATGTAAGCATACAAATTGGCCCGCAGCTTGTGTTTGCATGGCGGCCCGTCGGTACCTTTGGTCCTCTTTCCCGAGCAGCGAGAGGATCCTGAGCAGCTGGAGCTGCAGCCACGGCGCAGGAACATTGCGGTAGTTAAAGTCCACCGGGAGTTTCCCACCCAGCACCTGCTTCAGGATAGTGACGAAACTACCCGTCAGGTCCTTATAGCCGTCTGGACTCTCCTGATAAAGAGAAAGACATCAGATGTGACCGACTAGCCATTTCTTGCCTACTGCATGATGGGACAAAATCACAGCCGATCGGAACATGTTTAACGTTTACTTATACAGCTGGTTTTAGATGGTAAGGTCAGGACAAAAACATAGACTTGATTGTATTAGATTTTAGAATGAAATAAAAAAGGTATAAAGGTGTTCACTTTAACTCAGTTTCACAATACAAAGCCACCTATCATAAATACTGACATTCAAGCCCATACTGTATGTTGAAGACTGACCGTCATCAGCTGTAGGTAAATATGTAAGGATGATGACTTGACACCCGGATCTTTGTCACACAGAGCTTTTCAAAACTTGCTATGAATGTGCTGGACTTGATTAGGAGCAATAAGATAAAACTTATACAACGCCAGGACGGCTTTCCTCCGAATGATCTCCCTTAGACAGGAAAGAAAGACAATAATATGTGACCCTGGACCACAGAACCAGTCTTAAGTGTCAATTTTTCAAAATTGAGATTTAGATATCATCTGAAAATAAGCTTTCCATTGATGTATGGTTTGTTAGGATTGGATCATATTTGGCCGAGATACAACTATTTGAAAATCTGGAATCTGAGGGTGCAAAAAAATCTAAATATTGAGAAAATCATCTTTAAAGTTGTCCAGATGAAGTTCTTAGCAATGCATATTACTAATCAAAAATTACGTTTTGATATATTTACGGTAAGAAATGTACAAAATATCTTCATGGAACATGATCTTTATTTAATATCCTAATGATTTTTGGCATAAAAGAAAAATCTATAATTTTGACCCATACAATGTATTTTTGGCTATTGCTACAAATATACCCCAGCGACTTAACACTGCTCTTGTGCTCCAGGGTCACATACGAGTTATTATTAGACTGAGAATCAAATTGACCAATATACAAATAATTTTACCCATATTTACACTTTTCTTAACTGGAAAACTGGTTATTAGTTCATTAATACTGCGACTTCTGTTAAATCTGGTTCAATGCATGAATATGCATTCAACAGGAAACAGTGGTGTTCATGGGTAAATTCAATTAGTGTTTCTTAAATTAATATTAAAACAATATATATTACATATATTTATGATTAAGATGTCCGCATCAAAAGAAATTGACAAAAGTGATTTTATGTCCATAGAAAGCACATTAAATGCAAGTAAAGTGTCTACATTTAAGGCTTCAAATAAGTTTTTGGAGAATAAAATGTCAAAATTTGGTTGAAATAATGTTACATTGTCATTCAGTGTAACACTTATAGTTATGTAAAAATTCAAACAACATGCTTATGGCCTGTACATATTAAAATATATAAAAGAATAAGTGAGCATAGTATTGTATTAGTATTAGTATTTGGGGTGAAAGTAATTAGTCTTTTAATATGTCATAAATTGATTTTTGTTGTAAATATGCCTGACAAGATTGTTACACTGAATGACATTTTAGTGGGTGTCTTCTGTAAATCAGGGGAAAATGTATGATATTTATTTTTTGCTCGGAAAAACACAAATACAATTACGTTAATCAGAAAACTTAAAAAAAAAAATTTTTTATTATTATTTTGTTGGAAAAACAACAATTTAAAGCAGTGCTGTTTTTATGCTTAAACCCTTATATAAAGTGTTTTGTTAATGTAATTAATATTATTATTAATAATAATAATAATAATTTGTTAATGATGATTAGTTATTCTTATGTTAAACAAAGCAAAAATAAAATAAAAATGGTGTTTACTGGACATTTATTGTTATAATTAACTAAAACTACATCTTTTTAAAGATTTTTTTAAGATTTAAGATTTGTTAACTGAAATATTGCTTGAATAAAATAAATAAATAAATATTACGTGCCTTGGCAACGTTACGTATTAAAATACTAAAACTGACATAAAAACAAGATAAAGCTATATAGAAATATAGAGAAAAATGATAAAAATTACAAAAGCACACAACAAAATTACTAAAACTAAAATTTAAATGGAAGCTAAAAATATAAAAGCTAATTCAAAATATTACTAAATATAATATTATACAAGTAATAACAAAATAACACATATCAGCCATTTTATATAATATCTGAAAGCCTTATTTATATGGCTTTTAGATATCTTCAAGTGTTGAAATAAGAAATAACTTGTGTGTATTGTGGAGGAGTGAATCTCGCTGGCTTACTTTGGATGCGACAGCTTGTCTTCCACCAGAGGAAGGACAGCAGGTATCATGTCTTTGGGAAACACCTGAGCTACTACAGTCAACGCCATGCACGCTTCAATGAGGTTAGTGCTCTGAAGATCCTGTCACACATGCATGAGACGTTCATCCATACATTTTACGTAGCAGGTCCAATTAAAGGTAATAAGCTAACCAAGCTCACTTTTAATACTGTGTTTACCAGCAACAACAACAATTCATGGCCTTCATTAAGGAAAAGAGACACCGCAAGGTAACCTAGATGATAAAAAGAGATATAAAGATTAAAATCATACACATTCAGGGTCCATAATTAACAAGAATCTCCACATAGAGTTAATAATAAAATATAAAAAAGTATATATACAGTGTGTATATATATATATATATATATAGTTAATTTGCAAAAACTGATAACTCATTATAAAAAATTTTTTTTTCAGAAATCACGTTTTTTTTTATTGCGCATTTCAAGTAATATCAATCAATCTGCAGTTGGGTTGTTTTGATTAAGTAATAATAACTTAAATACAGGTAATTTACTAGAGGTCGACCGATGTATCGGTTTTGCCGATTAATCGGCACCGATAGTTTTTTGCTGGAACTATCGGTTATCGGCAAAAATCCATGCCAATAGTTTTCCGGGTTGCGTTCGTTGCTGGAACGGCTGAGAAGGGTCTGCTGTCATTACACAGTACGAGAGCGGCCGACAGAAAATCCTGCCGCGCCACAGAGCGCCATTCACATAGTTTTCCATTTAATTACATTATATTTGTCCCGAATTGTTAATGCTTCATTTATAGAGCTATAATATAGATCGCGCTTTCTCTTTCCGTTTGCTCCGTTTTTTTAAACACCAAACTTCAAACTCATCTATGCCTCATTGTTCGTTCATTCTTGAAGTAAACTTGTGTCCGTTTGGTGATTAAATAAACTGCTTTAGACCGCTGCTCGAATTGAACGCGACGTGTCTTGAGTGTGTGTGATACCGGTGAGTTCTCCTAGACTCAGCACTGTGCTTTTATTTTGATTAGATAATCATCAAGTGTTCAAGAATAGAAGAAGTTAAAGTGTGAGAGTATACATACAGTATCCATATGTATATAATTTTAATGCTATGGCCTTTGTGTATATATTTAAAGATGTGCATCCTTAGGCATGACAGTTGAAATTAAATGGTAACACTTTAAAATAAGAGTCCATTTGTAACATTAAGATTAATGAAAGCTGTGTAATGAAAGTAGTGTTCCTTGTTAGAGTGTGTTAATTTCAACATTTTTATTATTATTATAACTACTACTAGTATGGTTCAGTACTGTTTTTTTAATAAAGCATTATTTTAGTTTTCGTTCAGTATCCATTTTAAAAACTATCGGTTAATTAATCGGTATCGGCCAGTGTGGTCCAACCTAGCTATCGGTATCAGCAAAATCCACTATCGGTCGACCTCTATAATTTACTCAATTAAAGTTCATAGAAAGTTTTTTTTTTTTTTACATATTAAAAGTTTGTTTTATAGCAGAAGCCGATAACTCCAACAGTCTTTTTTTTTGGCAAAAGCAGATACCTCCACATTTCATGTTTTAGAGTTTAACACTCGTTTAATCTTTGTAATCTCCTCAGATGATAATGTAGATGCCTGACAAACGTTGTTGTTGTTGTGATCATAAACTGTATGGATGTGATTACACGCAATACACCGAGCTTTTCCCTCACCATTGTAATGCGCAGCTTTTGCAAGGCTCCGTGAAAACGTTTCAGCTTTTATTTTCCTTTACGCCCTTAAGAAGACATCACAGGTTCATCAAGTTCTCCTCTCAGCTAGCACGTCTTTTCAAAGCGAAAGTAGACTTGTCACCTGACCTGAATACAGCGCGCTGATTCGCTAAAATGGACTTATCGGCTTCTGTTCAAAAACAGCAAGGGCGCTTGTCGGCTTCTACAGTAAAACGTGAACTCAGGAAGCCTTGAAAGTGGACAAAACCGGCTTTTTTTTTTTTTTTTTGGAAAAAACATGTTTAGGGTTCAGATCGCGCTATATGTGGAGAATAATGCACGGCAATCAGCAAAAAAAAAATTTAAGTGGTGTTTATCGGTTTTTATCTTTTATATATATATATATACACACACACAAAAAATATATATTTATACAAATATTTCTGTAATAATGTATTATGCCTAAAATATTGTTATATTAAAAAATACATTTTATTCATAATTTGTACAATTATCACCAAGACAAATTGTGGACCCTGTGTAAAGTGTACTGTGCATCTGTTGACTGGAAATGCAGTAACATACCCACTCTCTTCTCCAGTACACCGCCCTGCTGGGCCAGTTTGATGGCGTGAATGTAGGTGAAGGAGGCGTCGTAGCCCAGCATCTCACAGTACATGGCTCGCACCATGATCTCTCTCATCTGCTTCTGTAATACACACACAGAGGTCAAATAACCAGCTCCTGAGTGACCGTGATGACGGTAAGGTCTGTATCGCTCACCATGGTGGTGTTGGGAGATGAAACCTGCTCTTTCACGGCAGACAGCTCCTGTTTGATGAGGATCTCCTCCTCCTGCAAATGCCCATCAAATGCGATCATGCTTTAAAATAAAGAGCACTGCACTGCATTTTAATGTGTGGTTGCTATGACCTTGATAGTGTACATTTGTATATTGTACTAAATTATTATTATTATTTTGATGTTGGAAGTGGCCACCTTTTTGCTGTTCACTTTACAGTTTTTTATAAATATATGTTTTAAATTATTATTATTATATAGCTATTAATATTTTTTATTATTTAATATTTATAATGATTATTTACCATTATATTATTACTATATATATTTAATTGTCAAAATGATAGAAAGTAAATAATATATAAAAGTAAATTATACACAATAATATTAAATAACCTTTACTATTATTCAATATTAGATTTTGATTTATTTAATATGTGGTTTCTAGGACCTTAATAGTGTACATTGGTTTATTTTACTAAATTATTTTTTTCTTCTATTTTATCTTGTAAATGGTCCTTTTAGCTGTTGTTCACTTGTTACAGTTTTTTATAAAATACAATGTTTTATTATATTTTTGTTATAATTTGCATAATATAAATAATACATAATAATATATTTTGTCATATATATATACACTATTATATAATTTATTTACTATTTATTTCATTATTATTATTTATAAAAATTATAAAATACTATTCTGTATAATCAATTATTCTGAAATCATGAAATTAGAAATATAAAATTATATATTTTCGAAATAAAGTACTTATTTCCACACTGAAAGCGGAACCCCTGTCACTGCTTTACCTGCCAATGTCTATATTTATGCTTCTGTCTCTGTGATGTAATTTTATTAATAAACGAATGTTTAACTTACATGTTTAGATGTCAGTTCTGTGATGCTCTTGATGAGTTGTCTTAATCTGTTGGTGATTTTAACAGCTCCAGTTTGAGAATCAAATAAACCCGGCAGAGCAGTGAGAGTTTTCTCCACAACATCACTCATTTCAGCACGACAACACAGACGAGCAGATTATGAGACACAGCCGAGACCCTGCATACAGACGAGGGCACTACAGCAGGACAGATACCTGCACAACACCCACACTTCAGTCAAAACACACAGAATGAAAACAAACCAGCGTGACTAGACTTTCTCGACGCCTACCGGAAGTGCGCTGCTGATTTCATAATAAAAGTCTCTCGAGCGGTTTTCACCTAAACAACAACAACAATAATAAAACTTAATTTTATAAAGACGTTTAGTTGTCTTTATAATATTAATATAGTTTTATTATTACATAGATAGTATCTATCTAAATGTCTGTCTGTCTAATAGTTTTGTGCAACAATTTATGTATTTATTTTATTTAAAAACAACTAAATTAAATAATTGTTTTTATAAACAATAGAAATCTGAGAACAACTTTTGTGTTTTAAGTTTTAAAGCTGTTTTCACAAAGCTACATACAGTTTTTTTTTAAATTAATTAGTAATTTATAACATTTGGTAAATGTACCAACACAAATAATTGACGCAAATCAATAAGTGAAATAATTTATTTTGTTTCCAACAGAAAAAGAGGGGTTTGGACTTTTCGTTTTTGGAGGAACTGTCTATTTAATAACTCTACAAAGCTCACTTTAACCATTATGCTTTACTGAACAGTTATTTTACCATTCCATGTTAATAAAATAATAAGTAATGAATTTAATTGCTTAAATAAAACTGATCTAATAACAACAAAAGCAACGTCATGAAACATGAAATAAAGAGACACCACATACATTCCAGCACTAAATTATTTTTTTCTTCTATTTTATCTTGTAAATGGTCCTTTTAGCTGTTGTTCACTTGTTACAGTTTTTTATAAAATACAATGTTTTATTATATTTTTGTTATAATTTGCATAATATAAATAATACATAATAATATATTTTGTCATATATATATACACTATTATATAATTTATTTACTATTTATTTCATTATTATTATTTATAAAAATTATAAAATACTATTCTGTATAATCAATTATTCTGAAATCATGAAATTAGAAATATAAAATTATATATTTTCGAAATAAAGTACTTATTTCCACACTGAAAGCGGAACCCCTGTCACTGCTTTACCTGCCAATGTCTATATTTATGCTTCTGTCTCTGTGATGTAATTTTATTAATAAACGAATGTTTAACTTACATGTTTAGATGTCAGTTCTGTGATGCTCTTGATGAGTTGTCTTAATCTGTTGGTGATTTTAACAGCTCCAGTTTGAGAATCAAATAAACCCGGCAGAGCAGTGAGAGTTTTCTCCACAACATCACTCATTTCAGCACGACAACACAGACGAGCAGATTATGAGACACAGCCGAGACCCTGCATACAGACGAGGGCACTACAGCAGGACAGATACCTGCACAACACCCACACTTCAGTCAAAACACACAGAATGAAAACAAACCAGCGTGACTAGACTTTCTCGACGCCTACCGGAAGTGCGCTGCTGATTTCATAATAAAAGTCTCTCGAGCGGTTTTCACCTAAACAACAACAACAATAATAAAACTTAATTTTATAAAGACGTTTAGTTGTCTTTATAATATTAATATAGTTTTATTATTACATAGATAGTATCTATCTAAATGTCTGTCTGTCTAATAGTTTTGTGCAACAATTTATGTATTTATTTTATTTAAAAACAACTAAATTAAATAATTGTTTTTATAAACAATAGAAATCTGAGAACAACTTTTGTGTTTTAAGTTTTAAAGCTGTTTTCACAAAGCTACATACAGTTTTTTTTTTTTATTAATTAGTAATTTATAACATTTGGTAAATGTACCAACACAAATAATTGACGCAAATCAATAAGTGAAATAATTTATTTTGTTTCCAACAGAAAAAGAGGGGTTTGGACTTTTCGTTTTTGGAGGAACTGTCTATTTAATAACTCTACAAAGCTCACTTTAACCATTATGCTTTACTGAACAGTTATTTTACCATTCCATGTTAATAAAATAATAAGTAATGAATTTAATTGCTTAAATAAAACTGATCTAATAACAACAAAAGCAACGTCATGAAACATGAAATAAAGAGACACCACATACATTCCAGCGTTTAAAATCCATTTATTTGGTTTAGGTGTAGGGATATCTGTGTCGATATGACAACCTATATGATATCATGGTATATACACTTTGCTACAGTAAAAAAGAACAACTATAGTGGCGTAGTAATTGAAAGAGAATGAGACCATAGCGAGTAAGAGAGCATAAGTAAATCTTTTAGCTTGCATATCAGAAATAGAGTCCGCTAAACAATCTTTCCCTTCGTTCATTCCCAACAACTCAAGCAGTCAGTCGAGACATCAGTGTCTCTGCTGTGCTTCAACCTCATGCACAGATCTAAACAACATGGAATACATTTATATTTTTAGATTAATGCTTCAGATAAATTATTTCTTGGCTCATGGGGGCAGTCGTTGTCATAGAAACACAAGCCATGGACACCATCCAAGTCCATCCCATAATACCAAGCATACCATGTGCTGATTAGAGTTGGATGCACTACAGTCCCTCTGTATCATTACAGTCTGCGGTTTATCCTTGAATCCAGCTGCGGTGAGAAATCTGATCGAGCCGGATGTCAAACACAAGCAGGCGGAGGTTCAGCCAACATTCAGGCCCAGATCTGGAGAAAGACAGAACAAATGTGAGGCTTTCATCACAACACTTAATATACTTGCATTGTGTTATGATCTTTTTGTCCACTGACCCGTAATGTGTGATCCCAGGATCCCGAGCAGAACGCTGTTCCGTCCGGAGAAACGCGGAGCGTGCTAACTCTGTTCTCATGTCCAAACAAGATGGACACGCGGGTGCCCTTTAAAACGTCCCACACGTTGATGGTGTAGTCATTGTAGCCACCAAACAGCAGCCTCCCTGCCAAAAGATATTAGCATAGCATAAACAACAAGCTCCTTCAAATAGAAAATCAATCTTGGTGATTCTGGTAAAGAAAAAAAATGTATACTGTATATATACTGTATATAGTTGTGGTCAAAATTGTACATACATTTTGCAGTATCTGCAAAACGTTAATTATTTTACCAAAACAAGAGGGATCGTACAAAGTGTATTTGAACCCTTTCCAGCAGTGACTGTATGATTTTGAGATCCATCTTTTCACACTGAGGACAACTGAGGGACTCATACACAACTATTGCAGAAGTTTCAAACGCTCACTGATGCTCCTGAAGGAAACACGATGCATTAAGACTTTTAAAACTTTGAACAGTATGAAGATTTTTCTTATTTTGCCTAAATAAAGATACTTACATGTTTCCCAGAACACAAAATAAGTTCAATTTCACCTGATCTTTAGATTCAAAAAGTTTCTTAAAGGGATAGTTCATAGTAGGCTCTTAAAGGGATAGTTCACCCAAAAATGAAAAAGGGATAGTTCATAGCAGGCTCTTAAAGGGATAGATCAAGATGTAGGTGACTTTGTTTCTTCAGTTGAACACAAACGAAGATTTTTAACTCAAACCGTTGCAGTCTGTCAGTCCTATAATGTAAGTGGATGGGAATCACGGCTTTGAAAGTAAAAAAAACATACACAAACAAAACCAAATTAACCCTGCGGCTCGTGACGATACATTGATGTGTAAAGACACAAAACGATCGGTCTGTGCAAGAAACTGAACAGTATTTATATCGTTTTTTACCTCTGATTCACTGCAATGTCCGAACTGTCCTGAGCGCGTTCTCTATCTACAATCTCAATTAGGAGTGTCAATGGTCCACTTGAGAGATGGGTGGCGGTAATGCACTTATAAGTCTGCAATCCGCCGTAAAGCAAGAAGAAGAAGACGTGTCAGGCGCCGGCTGTTGAACACGCTTTGGACAGTTCGGACATTGCAGTGAATCAGAGGTAAAAAACTATATAAATACTGTTCAGTTTCTTGCACAGACAGATCGTTTTGTGTCTTTACCAAGCGGCAACCTCCCGCTAGAGGCTGGCTGCAAAAGGGAGTCAGTCCCATAGTCTCCCCATGTTAAAATGCCCAACTTTACAGCAGAAAAAAACATGTTTACAGCCTGGTTCAAAAAAAGATTTTGGTCTATATAGCTAAAATAAAAAAAAAACATGTATTTTGTATGATCCCTCTTATTTTGGTAAAATAATTAACATATTGCAGATACTGCAAAGTGTACTGTATGTAAACTTTTGACCACAACTGTATATTAAAAAAAATGTAATTAAAATATATCAAATTATACATTCATTTCATTCTAGTTTCTAAACATTCAGTGAGAGACTAAATTATTGAAGGAAACTGAAGGTTGTGCTCATTGCATTATGGGATATGGTTCTGATCCTAGGGCATTGCTACGGTGTTCAGAGTGGTTGCTAAGGTACAGTATTCTTAGTGGTTGCCATGGCATTTCTATGCGATTGCTAAGGCACCCTGTCCATGCCATGGTTATACACTGCACATTTTGCAAATACAATAGGTTAAGTGAGTATACAGAATGAATAAATATCACTTAATATTTCAAACAGTGTCAGTGCTTACCGCTGAGGGAGAAATCCACACTAGAGGCTCCAAATATGATGCTCTCTTTAGAATAAATGGCCACCTCTCTGTCTGCCCTCAGGTCATAGAGACGACACTGTAAAGACAGAAAATAAAGATCAAATTAAACACATTTTTAACTACAGTACCTGTTTACATGTTATTAATGAAGTCTCTGAAGTCTCTTCTGCCCATCAAGGCTGCATTGATGTGCTCAAATATACGTTCCTTGATATGCTTTTTTAATCTCAAAAACGGCCAGCCGCTGACTTGCACTTTATGAATCACCAACGACCACGGTTTCAGCTAAAAATCTTCTTTACTCTTCTACTGGAGTCAAAAAGTCACCTACATCTTGCATGGCCTGTCAATTAACAGCTAATTTTTTTTTGTGTGTGAACTATCCCTTTAAGAAAGCAAATAGGGTCAGTCATGATCTCATGTTGACTGTAAGGTAATGTGTGACATTGGTTTGTTAAGGGAAGGTTTGTGTTTGGCATCAGCAGCTCAGTTCCCACCCCTGACACGAATGTGTTTCCGGTCTCAGAGGGGGCCAGATCCAGACACAGCACATCAGCCGCGTGTCCATGGAAGCTCTGCAGCATCTGACCGCTCTCTACATCCCACAGAGCACACGTGCCATCACCGCTAGACGTCAGGATCTGCCGCAAACACAAAACACACCACATCCAGTCAAATGCAAGACACCGTCTCATCATTTCACCACGTATTCAAGCATACCTGCATATCTGAGTTAGTAAAGCAGCATGCAGACAGGTAGTTGGTGTGCATGGCCACTGATTTCTTCTTGGCGGCGAGGTTTTCATTCTTGTCCAGGGATAGAGGGTACACAGAGCACTTATTGTCCAAGCCACTGCAAAAAAACAATGTGTCAGTTAAAGGTGCAGTATGTAATATTGACAGCTAATGGGTACTGCAGTCCAAATTCTCCTGCCCCTCCTCCCCAGACGCGATGCTCACGCGGGTTGCCAGATTGAGGACATGCAACAGGAACGAGCACAACTGACAATGGAAAGTTGACGAGCTGTTCATTGCAAGTTAATGAGTTGATTTAGAATAACCGGCTGTAGCATTGTTCTTCTGTGAAACAAGTATGTGATTTTAGCATGTATATTATGATATTTTATGCTTTAGTGCATTCAAAAAAAATTTATACATCATTTTAATAAAATAAATCAAGTGAACAAAAAATGAAGTTAGCAAGCAATTCTCCACTAATATTATCTCCCAGCAAGGATATTTTGTATTTACTAAACTTGTAATTAAAGTTTAACGTGTGTGACATCTGCGGCACTAAATGAAACTGCAAAACAAAATATTGTTTCCTAAAAACTCCTAAAGCTTTCTAGCCTTTACACAGGTTGGAAAAGCTTGAAGTCCCACCCCAGTTTTTTGCAATTGGTTAAGCCAGATGGTTATTGCTCAAAGAGAGTGATATAATGCTTAGAAAGATTGAAAGATTTAGGCTACGTCCACACAAAGCCAGGGCTTTCCCTATCCAATCTCTTTTTTCCCCCTCGTCTCAAGAAATATCTGCGTCCACACGAAACCATGAAACCGACACAAAACGATATAGTATACATGCCAGACCAGCATGTGCACTGTAATTCTGCCACAGAGATACACTAAAAATGGAGAAGAAGACTTGGACTATGCACATAAAGCTTGCGCGGTATACAAACGAACATGGAACAATACATGTATTAATCTGTGTTAATGTTAGTTAATAAAAAGACAATCGTTCAGTGTTTGTTCATGTCTCTGTTGCTGTTACGTGGATCTGTGTGGACGAAACACCTATACGATACAAAATTTATACATATACAGCTAAACGAGTCTCCGTGTGGACGGGGCCTTAGAAAGGAGCTGGAGAGCCCAGAGACTTACCCACAAGCCACTGCACATCCAGAGGGGGCGTAAGCACAGGCCATGACCCACGTACAGGGCATAGTCACCGCATGCTCCTGTCAGGACATGTAATATATTAGAAGCGCCATTATTATAACTAAAATACAAAACCATAAAAATTTAAATTCTGTTACTTAAAAATGAAACGAATGGTAACGGAGACAAAAAATAAATAAATAAATAAATATATTTTATTTCAGCTAAAGCTAAATTTCTCATTTTCATTTAGTTTACCTTGATGTACTAAAATAACTAAAACTATATAAAAATGAATAAAATATGTACACTTAAAAAAAAAAACTAAGACAAATTACAAAAACACACAACTTTATTTCTTAAAATAAAACAAAATGAAAAAATATGAATTAATTCAAAACATTAGTAAACTATAACAGTATCTATAATAGTATCTAAATTATACAAAAAAACAAGTTAAATAACAAATTCAGCTACATTTTACATCAACATTAGTCAAAAGCATACTGTACATAATTATATAACAGTTAGTGACTAATGTTATAGGTAAACTTTGGGGAAAAAATAAAAAGTATATGATATGGTCTTTGAAATCATAGAAATATCACTTTTTTAAAGTGTCAGGTTCATTTTACCTTATTTGTGGTAAATGCATCCCATACAATCACCTTTCCATCCTAAAATACAGAAGAAAATTCAATAATTATTGATACAATTACTGCATTTTTTGCATCATTTGCAAAACTATGTCACTGTGAAAGGAAGTGATTTATAGACTGACCTGAGATGAGCTGACGATTCTCCTCTTGTCTTTACACCAGTCCAAACACAGGACTTTATTTCCATGGCCTTTCAGAGCTCGTCTGGTCTTCATAACAAACTGACCCAAAGCCTCAATCTTCTCCGCCACTTGATGTACTGATGGAAAAGCCACAACTTTAATGCCATTTTGTTTATTTCCTGTTTTTATTTTTCATTAACCTGCCCGCAGTTAATTGCATCTTATCAAACCATTAGAAAAAAAAGATAAATAATAAATGAACAAGATAATAAAAAGTAATACATAAATAAAATGTGTAAATACATAGAATAAATGTTAAAACACTTAATATATTACACAAAATAACTGAATTTAAAAAAAAGCTTTAAATAGAATTAATATTCTCCTTGTGAAGTAATTATTAGCAGTGTTGTTATTGTTGTTATAAAAATTGAAATATAGCTGAAATAAAATAAAAAATAAATATTAGATTACAAACTTAGAACCAGAAATGTTAAAAAGTTTATTTTGATACACTAAAATTGTAATTAAAAAAATCAAAGCTAAGTATAAATATTTAATAACAATAAAAATAGAATGAAAATGACAAAAGCAAATAATAAAATTACTAACAAACTAAAATAAAAATCAAAACTAAAAAATATGATAACACTTTACAATAATGTTCATTAGTTAACATTAACTTTAGTCTTTAGTTCACATGAACTAAGCCTGAACAATACGTCTACAGCATTTATTAATCTTAGTTCATGTTAATTTCAACATTTACTTATTCATTATTAAAATCAAAAGTTGTACTTGTTATAATTATTTAATGCACTGTGAATTAACATGAACTAACAATGAACGACTGTATTTTCATCATCATCACCATCATCATCATCACCATCATCACACCATCATCATCACCATCATCATCATCATCATCATCACCATCATCATCATCATCACACCATCATCATCACCATCATCATCATCATCACACCATCATCATCACCATCATCATCATCACACCATCATCATCATCACCATCATCACTACCATCATCATCATCATCATCATCACTACCATCATCATCATCACCATCATCATCATCACACCATCATCACACCACCATCATCATCATCACTACCATCATCATCATCACCATCATTCATCACCATCATCATCATCACCATCATCACACCATCATCATCACCATCATCATCATCATCATCATCATCATCACCATCATCATCATCATCATCATCATCATCACCATCATCATCATCATCATCATCATCATCACCATCATCATCATCATCATCATCATCATCACCATCATCATCATCATCATCATCATCATCACCATCATCATCATCATCATCATCATCATCACCATCATCATCATCATCATCATCATCATCACCATCATCATCATCATCATCATCATCATCACCATCATCATCATCATCATCATCATCATCACCATCATCATCATCATCATCATCATCATCACCATCATCATCATCATCATCATCATCATCACCATCATCATCATCATCATCATCATCATCACCATCATCATCATCATCATCATCATCATCACCATCATCATCATCATCATCATCATCACTACCATCATCATCATCACCATCATCATCACCATCATCACTATCATCATCATCACTACCATCATCATCATCACCATCATCACTACCATCATCACTACCATCATCATCATCATCATCATCACCATCATCATCATCACCATCATCATCACCATCATCATCACTACCATCATCATCACCACCATCATCATCATCACCACCATCATCATCATC